GTTTCGGATGTCGGAAGGCACCCTCCAATCGGAACTTACACTCTACCGTGATATACAGTGTCAGGCATGGAAACCTGTTTGCTCTTCACACATACCCTCCCTTGTGGACCTACGGTTGATGATATCAGTCCTGCATTACCCATAATAAGGAATATACCATAATTCCCATAGTTTAGGGTCCTTGAGGTCATGCAGGATTTATATCATCAACAGTAGGTTAGGGTTGCCGCTGAGGGTTTTAGGTTTGACTCTTTGGGGTGAAGTAAAAGCCCGGGAAGAGCAGCCTTCGGACCCAGCTCGAGTTCGCATTCTTCGGGAGCCCCGAAGCCTCTTTGTTATATCATAGCTTTATTGTAGTTATGTGTGTTTTTGTATGTATGTGTGTATATATATATATTTATACATATATATATATGTATATGTATATATATATATGTATGTCAGTTGTATTAAGAGCTAAATTTTGCTACAGCTCTATTACTGAAGCTTCGCGCAGGAGAGTGGGAAATAGATTCCTAGCCTAGCCTTAGCAGTCTTCGCGAGATCACATCTCTTTCATGAAGACATGGGCAATGCCCATGTTTAACAGTCATGAGATCAGCTCCAACGATGTGCACGGTTCATGAGTTCTTTCTCAGCTTCGACCACCGTGTGTTTTTTTGCAGGTCGCGCTTCCGACCTGCCAGCACCTCAGTGCTGACTCCTCGTGAGATTTGGGGGCTGAGAGGATTTGCGATGCTAGGCTGTAGGCCCTTAGCGCCGTCAGGGGTTAGAGGGTTTGGGAGTTGGGGGCGTGGGGTGTAAGTAGCGGTTAACTTTCGGCAAGAAGTAGGCCAGGACTTCAGTGCAGGTTGCAGCCCCGTCGCTTCAAATCCGCAGATTCTGGCACGGAGCTCTCTGAAACCCTTGAAGGACCTTTTAAGGGGGACCCTATTCTAGAGCCCTACAATACCCCTTAATGGGGTCCCTACGTATAATAGTACCCTTGAAACCTAGACGCCTCATCCTGAAAATGGTCGGATTGCCTCTCAGGTCACCTATGCCCACCGCGAGGTGATCCAGGCAATCCCGGAAACTGGTAGCGTTTGGAAAAGCTCCGAGTAGGGTTGAATTGGGTTCTGTGGGGCCTTCGAAGGGTTTTACGGGATGCTCTAAGGTGCGTATAGGATTACACAAAGGGGTTCATAAGATGCCTGTATAAGACGATATTGTGCAAGGTCGTTCTGGCTTTTTATCAGGGTAATGTGGGAACCTGTTCAATAAACCACTGTTTCCTACCACGGGTTTGGATGTGCCATGTGTATACGTCATGCGCCTGGGTGTTTAGTTTTAGGGGTTGAGGGCTGACGCCTTAAGCCCCCAACCCAGATATTGAAGTTCTAAACCTGTCTATACACACACACAATCATACACAACTCCTATCGATCTATCTATCTACTTATCTATCTATCGATCGATCTACCTATCTATCTATCTATCTATCTATCTGTCGATCTATGTATGTATGTATGTATGTATGTATGTATGTATGTATGTATGTGTAGATACATATATGAGCACACCCCCACAACTCCCCAGGCCTAAACCCCACGTCCAGCTCCGTCGATGTTCGAAGCAGAGGCTGCAGCGAAGAAGCTGAGCAGCGAACTGGGCTCGGACACTAAGCCGGTGATGGAGGCATTTGTGTTTAGGGCTTATAGGGTTTGGGGTATGAGATTTGGAGTGAAGGGTTTGGGGGTGTTTGGAGTTAAGGATTTAGGGGTGTTTCCAGGATTTAGGTTTTTTTGTTTCAGTCTTTCAACTTTCTTGTCTGCTCGCTGCGTCGGTCGGATTGCGACGGCTCTTGGCCGGACACCGGCGTCCAAGTGCCTGTTGCCTTTTCTCAGCTTCAGGTTCTATTCAAACAATGGAGCGCCCTATATTTGGACTCTGAGCTATGCTGGAAGACAGCGGCCCCGAAGATTTTGAACATAATCAGGGCTTCGGGACGGAGCTCCAGACGTGTCGAGAGGCGCTTCAGGGTGTAGGGAACCCCCAACCCCAGTTTAAAGTTCTGGGAGTTTGCATTCCGAGCTCGAGCTTCCCTAGGCCGGCCAAAAGCTTGCGACCCTAAGCATTGCAAACGTTCTTGTGAATCTGCAGGCTCTATTTAAGGTTTTAGATTTAGGGTTAAGGGCTCTACTCTCCCTTAACCCTAAATGCTGAGCCGAAGCCGCCCTAAGCCTTCGACCCAGCACCCTGCGCAAACGAACCGCGCTTCGCCTGACTTTCGGCTCGCGGCAAGCATAATTCCCACTGGTGGCCTCACCTGCGCCGCTGGGAGGCACAGGGTTTGAGGTCGCTGGCTCTAGGTACCTGACAACCATGCACTCACCCGAATCAAAATTTCACCTAAGACTATGTCATCCTATGGTGTAGCACCCGAATTCTGGATCCTTTTGACATTGAAACTCGCCCCCAGGCTGTTGGATTTTGTGCTAGGGTCAGCGGTTCGGGGGGTTTTAGAACTCTCGTTGCAGCATGCTTCTACTTGGAGGCTCAAGGGACTTGATAAGTAGGCTTATAAGTTATAAGTCTAAAGTTACAGACAGGGCACTTCATATTCTCAACCGGGCTCTTACAACCACACTTAGAATTGAAGTACTTAACAAGTCTCGTGATCGTCCAAATGCTCAAGTGCCAGGTTGCTTCAGCATGCGCTCCACTGCGCGAAGCTTCAGCTCTCAAGCCTCGCTGATCGGAAATCTTCAACCCTAAACTCCAAAGGCCCTCTGCAGTCAAACTGGCAGCTGGGCAGGTCCACCATGTCCGCCGTGGTGGACAATCAGCTTTCAGCGCTTCCTTTGACAGGCGCCCATGGCCAGCCCGAGACCTCTGAGCCGGGTCGGGACCCCGTGCTCCTGGGCAGTCCAGCCACTTTCTCCTCGTTTATGCTACTGGGGTCAAGGCGTGTCAGGGGCTTCGGCAAGACGAGGAGTTGTGATGGGGGTTTTAGGGTGTAGGGTTTAGGGGTGTAGGGGTTTGGGGTTGAGGGTTTAGGGTTACCTTTTTCTTTTGGGCAGCGGAGCAGGAGAACCGTGCCTGGCAGTCTACAGAGCAGCCAGTTCACACTCTACCGGACAGGGACACGCAAAACAGTCAAAAGAGAGCCTCCCAAGCGTGGACGACAAATCCCAAACTGAACCCTAAGTGCTGCATGTTTCTGTGGAGTATGTATGCACGCCCCTCACGTATGTGTGTGTGTGTATGTATGTATGTATGTATGTACGTATGTATGTATGTATGTATGTATGTATCTATGTATCTATGTATGTAAGCATACATCCTGCATTCGCAAGCCCTATTCCCAGGACACCGGCAGCAGGGTTGGGATGCTGTCGACCTCAGTTGAGGCCCTTGTTTCCCATTGCCCTACCAGTAGAAGGTTTGGGGGTTTGCATGGCTTTTGTCTGTCTGTGGGTTCGAAGCCCCACATGCCACCAGAACCCTGTCGTTTTCAGGTCAAGCACCTTTTCTATGAGAGCCCTGAGCCTTTGCACAGAAGTCGGTAGTTTCTGGTAAGCCCCAGAGTCTAGGCCCTGGTCCCTCGGACTGTTGAAATGGCACGGTCGCCCGTTTAGTCTTGGCGCCGATGGTTCTAAGGATAGGATACGTGCAAGGCACCCTGAGAGGCCCCTTCATATCTACGTATCATTGGTGTTTTCTTCCATGGTTTGCAGGATTCGTGCAACATGTTCCATTGCAACATGTTCCATTGCAACATGTTCCATCATGCATTGGGCGTGTTGGAAATTTGAATTTCCGGGTTCACGGTTGAGGATTTAGGGTTGGGGGTGACTGACATCCATCGCGCATTGCCACGCGGACAACGAACTAGCAACATAACTATGTTCTTTCTAGAATCCTGTCCCATCTATGTAGGCCGCCCACCAACCCAGTAAAACTCTCTTCTATTAGTCGACCATACCCCAAGACCAGGTAAAGATCTGTTATGTCTCTATTTTCATTCTGAGCAACCAGAGAGGTCAACAAGGGTGGAGGCTCATTACCGAGCATTGCGATGTGGGATACTGTTGATGATATAAATCCTGCATGACCTTAAGGACCCTAAGCTATGGGAATTATGGTATATTCCTTATTATGGGTAATGATGTAATGCAGGATTTATATCATCAACCGTATGACTTTGGCACTGTCAGGCGGCTTGCACACTCAGGAAGCGTCTTCAAGAGTCTTGTCGGCTGCCTTTTGTAAGTCTTCTTTGGTGTTGGCTTGACTCAATTGTCTGATTGTCTTAGCTTTTGTCTGCTGTTGTGTCCAGGTCTTCTCTCGCCTTTGTCGAGGGTCCTGAAGAGGAGATCATGAAGTCCATTAACTACCAATATAGTAATATAGTTACCCTAAACCCTAAACCCTAAACATTTAATATAGTATTGGTCCTTCATGAACCTACTTTCCGAAGCCCTGGGCCAGGAAGGCCATGCCACCGGCTCTTTCCCATCGAGGCCGCTGGAGCAACAGTTTCTGTTCTGTCACGCAGCATGGCTTTGGACACAGGATGAGATCGGTTTAGGGTTTAGGGCTCTGGTTTGATATCTTTAGCACGTGCGTTTTCGCGTTCATTCGGGGCCAGCGTAAGGTGCATTTGGACAAAGCGCACTCCCACAGTGTCCCGTTGTCGGCATCAACCTCCCATGTTCTGGGAACCACATACCTTCCCTGCTCCTGCCAAGAAAGACAAGCCACGATGTGTTTTCCTGTAGCCTCCCTTGACCCTTCAGCCTAAAGCCTAGTTTAAGCTCTAAGCCCTACGAAGCATCAGCCCTTGACCCCTTGCAAACCTTTCAATTCTGGAGGATAAATCTCGAGGAAAACCCCCCTGTAAACGACGCCTCTAGACCCTTTAGCACCCCAAAGGCTTTCTGGGAATGCCGGGAAAAGTCATAGCACTCTCGGCCCGCATCCGTCATCTAGACAGGTCCGAGAAAAAGCCCTTCTTCATGCGACTGCTCATGACGATGGGACCTGGTCTCATGGCCCTTGGGACGCAGTGTCGTGTCTACCGGTATCCAGGAAACCTCTGTCACACGGTGTCTTGAAAAGCCTCTGACACCTTAAGAGCCCACATACGACCCTACGAAACCCCGAACGAAACCCTCAACCCTGTACCGAAACGTTCGTGCTTAGTCGTGCATGGTCGCCGTGGCTCGCACACACGCTCTTCGAGCCCGCACAGGCCCTCAAGGCTCTGAAGCAATCACAGAAAAAAGCTTGTATACATGGTCACCATGTGCTGAGCTAAGGTTTGTTTCGCAGACACAGATGGCTCCTGTCTCATCACTGCTGCTGATTCTGGATCCGAGTGGAGATACAAGTGGCTCGGATGCTCGAGTGGGGTTACTGGAGGAATGGGCTTTCGATCAAGTTGATTATGCCAGAAGGTTTCAATTCAACTCAGGTGGGGTTTAGGTGTTACTGTAGGCTTTAGGGCTTTGGGCATTGGCTACTCGAAACTTATAGACAAGAGAGATATAGACTAACATGCACGGTTGCATATGTGCGGATGCAGGCACGCCCATTTGTATGTACACCATGCTACATGCACACAACATTCGTTCGACATCTATGTACATATGCAGACACGTTTGAAGGTGTATATAGATATACAGGCATGTATCTGCAAGCTGTTTTAATGAATGAGTGAATGAACGGATGCATGAAAAAATGAGTTAGTTAATGAATGGGTTTATGAACTACTGAACGAATGCATGACAGACCGAATCGACTAGGTAACTATATATGTATGTATGTCTCTGTGTGTGTGTATGTATGTATGTATGTATGTATATATATATATATATCATATCAATACATACTCGCGCACCCACATGCAAGCCTGAGATCCTATGCTTGTCTACCGACACTGGATCCAGGCTCCTCCTGCTCCAAATCATCTTGGTCCCCATCCTCTATTGCGCGCAGGTCAAGGGGCTGATTGTTTCAGGGCTTTCAGACGTCAGAGGCTCTGAAGCTTCGAGGTTCAGGAGTACCCTTACCCTCAAAGGACTCATATTCCTTAAGGGGCTTTTGATTTTGGGCCCAAAGACCCTATTAAACAAGGCTTGTGGGTCACAAGTTCGTGTCACCCGGAATCCAGTTGTTGACCCCCTAAACCCTAAACCCTAAACCCTAAACCCGGAATCCAGTTGTTGACCCGCGATTGGACAAACTCTGCAAGGCCAGAGTCCGCTCGGCCATGTTTCCCAACAGCCAACAGGCAATATTCTGTAAATATCTGTGTATATATATATAGAGAGAGAGAGAGAATATACATATGTATATATGTATATATAATCTGTGCTTATATGTGTCATTAAATACAACACAATCTGCTATAAATGAAGATGCAGCTATATAGCACGACATTATATATATATACATATACACACACAACTATTCGACAATGTAGCACAGTATATTTAAAACAACACCGTACAGCTTGTTCTAATGAACTACAGTATAACATAGTTCAATATCACATCATGTGTTTATTCCGTTCTATTCTAGTATCTTATAGTATAGTATGTTCTATTTTCTCATACTACATTTTCCTATATTGTATTGCAACTTACTGTAGTAAATTATGCTGTACATGACATGCTGTATTGTATGAGACCAGGCTAATTAGGTTGGAACAGAAAAGATTTGGCTTAGAATAGATTAGATATGAATTTAAGAGCCTCCAGCCCGAGAGCACCACGCAAAGAGCTCTCATTTCGGAGCCTCCCCCCAAGCTGATGCAAGGAGCTCACCGTGCGACTAGCGCTGGTGCGCGGGAAGGCAGTGATAGTAGTCTGCATGCTGGAGAGATGGGGAACGAAGGAGTGGGAGTGACACAATTTGACCCCCCAACTCCTGATCAAATCCCCAAGCAGTGTGGTAACCCACTACTTTCATGAATCACACTCTCGCCGCAATGCCGTGCATACTTTGTGGTGTGCACGGTCTTCCCACCAGCAGTCCCGTGTATTTCCACCTCCCCAGTCTACCCTGGCCTTGTACATGAATGCAGGGAGTTGAAGGGTTCAAAGCAGCAGAACACTTTCGCGGACGCATGGATCGCAACGAAAACTTGTAACGAATGTGTGTGCGAGACTTGTAATTGCTCTCGCTTTTTCATTTGCCCAGCTCTACTGGGAAAACTTGACGAAATCAGACCTTTGCAAGAAGAATGGAGGGTCTCAACCCTGCAACCCGTTCTCGTCTCCATGTCCTTGCCTACCAGGGCCTGTGCGCGCTGATTCGGCAAGAGGTGCCTCGGCACCAGACGGTTCAGGGTTGAGGGGCTGCTTTGGCTCTTGCTGAAGGAGTCGGAGCTTTTAGACCCTGAGGCTTGCACCGAAGTGGTTAGGGGTGCCAGCAGCCCGAACAAGAGCAATACACGCAATGCAAACGTTGCTGGCAGCGCCAATGGCAGGGGTAGTGGGTAGTAGTAAAGGTAGCAACGTACCCTTACTAGAAAGAGTCGTCATAACAGGAGCTGTGGTAATAGCAGTAGCACTCATAGTCCTTCTCGCAGTCTCACTACTGGTAGTAGCAGCAGTAGCAGCAGTAGAGGCAGCAGCAGCAGCAGCAGCAGCAGGAGGAGGAGGAGGAGTAGTAGTAGTAGTAGTAGGAGTAGTAGTAGCACTAGTAGTAGCAGCAGAGGTAGGTAGTAAGTAGTAAGAAGTAAGTAGTAAGTAGTAGCAGCAATACTGGTACTGTCTTCTGCTGCTTCGATCTTGTTACTCTTCCTTCGTGAGGCTAATATCCGTTTTTGTGACACTACTTCGCCAGAGCCCAAAACCCTCCAGCATGGCCTGAACGACAGTACGAATGTTTCACTGAATAGTGCAATCAGCAAGCCACAGAATAAGATTTGCAATCAAAGTCACAAACAAGAAGAACAAACCCTAAACCCAGAACCCTAAACCCAAAACACTAAACCCTAAACCCAAAACCCTAAACCCCAAACTCTAAACCCAAAACCCTAAACTTTCAAAACCCTAAACCCTAAGTAAAGCAGAAAGCTTCAGGCCGGCCCAAGATGGGCTTGGATCGTAGCTGTGCCGTGACCCGGCTGCAGGGTTTGGAGGCCGACAACGGGAGTTGCGACGGTACACGTGTGTGTGTGTGTGTGTGTTGGTTTAGGGTTAAGGTTTTAGGGTTTAGGGTTTAGGGTGTGTTGAAGTCTAGGCTTCAGGGGATCCGGCTCCCGGGAAGATCTTCCTGCAGTTGGCTTATGTGCAAAGAGGGCGAGTTTTTTGTCTCAGAGCTGCAGAGGGATGTCTGAGGATCAACTTTGTTGTTCTGATGTGGATCAACAAGGCTTGTTGCTGAACCCAGCAGAACAGCACTAGTTTGTAGGTATGCACTTGTACGTGCATTTACCACTACACTGATGGGATGGCCTCGCAATTTTGGGATACGTCCTGTAGTAGCAACTTCCGATCGGGACTTGAGACGACTGCACACTTGAGGCTCCTCCTAGACTGCGTCCTCGCTCTGATTTCGGTGCCTCGGCTTTCGCATGGTTTCAGGTCTGCGTGTGAAGTAAGCAGGACACACAACGCAAAGCCAAGGATATGTGTTGGTGGTAGTTGTCGTCGCAGTAGTCGCAGCATTGTAAACTGGTTCCCGAACCCGGGTTTCGAATTTGGTCCTGCAGGGTTGTCCAAGGAAGTTCACCTTTCGCGAAATCCTCGTCGACGGCACAACTCCCTGATTCTTAGTAGGGAACCCCATGATAGTCCGTTCGGGTCCCCTATAGTAGTCCCAAAAATCCCATTCCCTACTAAGAACCAAGGAGACAAGGGATCCGAGAGATTCCCTGAGCATCGAAGCTGGCCTATGCAGAACCCTCCAACCTTGAGCCCCACCTCCGACGTTCCTTGTTCAGAAGTGGATATAATGTACGAGAGTGCGCTAATATATATATATATATCTATGTATGTATGTATGTATGTATGTATGTATGTATGTATGTATGTATGTATATATATATACATACATACACACATGCACATACATGCAGCAAGGTACATATTGTAATACACCACAATAGACTGTAGCAGATATTATGATATCATGGAAAGTCGAGCCTATCTTCAATCTGGAAGCCCCAACAGATCCAGCAGACACTGAACTTCCTTTGTCGGCAGGAGCTGAATACCCCTTAATCAAGGAATATGCCTTAAATCAAAACATTAAAGCCCCTATAATTTAAGGCATATGCCTTCATTCAGGGGTATTGGGCTCTCTGGGTTCCTTTGTCGGCAGGAGCTGAATGTGGTAGGGCAGACGCTCCTGGCCTGTTGGGGCTGTCCGCTGTGGGCGGGGCGCCGAGTGCTCGAGTGGAGGATTTGGCAATCACGGTGCCAAGCTTACCCTAACCCTAAGGCTCCAAGGACTCATATTTTAAGGCTTTTGGGCGCAAAGACCATATTATATAAGGCTTTTGGGCTATTTTGAGCCTTAGGGTAAGGGTCCATGTGCCTATATCATATACTTCGGCCTTAAACGGGCTCCTAGTCACTATGACATACCTTTCTATGACATACCTTTCGGGCCAGCGTATATAGGTACATGGACCCTCAGAGTGTGGTTTCAGGGTCAAAGAAGAGCAAAGGACGCAGACTCTTCTGCTAGGGGACTTCGGACTCTTAGATCTATCAGGGTTGCTCAAAATGCTGGAGGGGCATTATCTTAAGGATGCTACTGTTGATGATGTAAATCCTGCAGTACCTTAAGGACCCCTAAACTATGGGAATCCTGGTATATTCCGCCATTATGGGTCATGCAGGATTTATATCATCAACCGTACCACGTTAGGCTTCAGTACTGCTATGTGCCATGCACAGAACCCCAGCTTGCGGCTCACGTTTCAAAACTCAGTCGGTCAGAAGTTCGAACCCTTTTGCTCTGGCTCACTTCCCCAAAGCTATCCGCATTTCGTCATCAGCTTTTGTGACTCCATCATGTTCCTTTTGACAACATCTCAACCCTAAACCCTAAAGCCTAAACCCTAAACCCTAATGGGGTTCAGAGAGCTACGTCATACATAGCAGGTCAGAAGCCGACCTCTCATGATACATAGGCCGAGCTCCTCATCCTCCAACCCCCAGAACTTAGCCCCCCTAAACCCCTAAACCCCTAAACCCCTAAACCCTAACAATCCTAAACCCTAAACCCCTAAACCCTAAACCCTAAACCCCTAAACCCCTAAACCCCCAAACCCTAAACCCCAACAACCCTAAACCCTAAACCGCTGAGGTTTCCTGCACACTCTTTGCCTTGGCGCTCATGCTGCTCGCCCTGACTGGCAGCTATGCAGTGGCAGAGAAGGCCGGCGGGCGGTAATATAACATACTATAATATAACATACTATAATATAGTATACTATATTATATTATGGTATACTATAATATAGTATAATCAAATATAATATACTGTAATATAATCTAATGTAATACAAAATAATATAATACAATATAATATCATACAATATAATATATAATATAATATAATATAATATAATATAATATAATATAATATAATATAATATAATATAATATAATATAATATAGTATAATATGATATAATATAATATAACATAAGGTATCGCATCATGGACCTGTTCGCAAGTTAGGTGTGAGTGTGTCGCATGCTGAGGCTGAAAGGAGACTTGGCCTTCACATTCAGGGAGCAAACCTCCTGCCCAGAATGCACAGTGCCCGTGCCACACCAGGTTGGATTGGCCATGGGTATACTGCAAGTGTCGCTTTCCCTGCAAAAAAGGGTCTGAGCTTTCGGTCTAGCCACCTCTTCCAGCTGATCCAGTCAGTTGCGAGGGTTGGGTGGGCTGTCCCAACTCCTCATGGAGGTGATCGCTACTTACTGCCAAACTACACACTTCTTGCTTGCGTACTTTGCGTGGATTAACTGAGAGTGGTGACTTGTCACCTACCACCACCCCTTCACAAACTGAGGTTCTTTTTCGCGACGATCTTCATGAATCGCCCGAGTGGTAGCGAAATCTGGTCTGATCTTTGGACCTTTCCGCTGTCCCTTAGCTGCAGAGCTACCAGCACATATTCAGGAGTACTCAGCGAGGCCTTGCATCTTTGCTACATAGGTTCCTGACAAAGGCACCTGTCATCTAGCATCTAGCTAGCTGGCTAGCTAGCAGGACCGAAATTATGCGCAGGTGTGCATGTTCACACTTGCACGAATTTGCGTGAGCACGTGTTTGCTTACAGTGAGCATGCATGCTTGTATGCATGTATGCATAGAATGACCAGCCAGAAACTCACACGTTCATGCTTAAACTCGTGTATTCTTCCAGTCGTTAGTGGTAGACTCCCCATCCTTGAGCCTCGCCGGGCTAAGCCAAACCGAACCGAGGGAGGACGAAGGCTTCTCAAGTCCACCCGTTCTGCATTCATTCATAATCTTAAACTCTACTTCTTTTTGTGTTTCGCTCTCTCTCGCTCTCTCCCTCTCTCACTCTCTGTCTTCTTTGTTGTATTTGTTTGTGTGCTTGTCTCTCTCATTTGTTTTCCTGTTTCAGAATGGATGCTGGGCTTTCGTTGTAATTCCAGGTAGATAAGCACAACCAGCCGCATGAGGGACGCTCTTCGTGTTCTGTTTCAGGATCAATCCAGCTTTCACACGAGACCTTAACATGCGCGCATGCTTGCACCAGGACCAACGGCAACTACATCAAGTTGATCACAGCCAATGTTGGGGCTGTAATCATGTGCCGCCGCAGCAGCTTGAGATTTTCAATTGTCCGGGCTGGATGTGTATACCTCTGAGGTATGCCGTCGGGCACAGTAGTTTCGGTGTCTCAAAAGCCGCTGCAGTCCACTGAGAACAGCAAAGCTGGAATTTACTTATCCTCCCCAGTCCTACTCCTGCTATGTACTGTCACCACGACTACTCCTACTACTCCTACCATTACTACTACTGCTGCTACTACTAC